GGATACTTACAAAAAAAGGGGAACTGTATTTGAAGATTTCCTTGTTATACCTTACATGCATTTACTGTAGTAATTACAATCAATTTCACATAACTACCAAACCCACATGCTAACCATAACTATATAGTTACAAAATGGCAAACACCCATACACACTCTCTCTCTCTCACACACACACACACACACACACACACACACACACACACACACACACACACACACACACACACACACACACACACACACACACACACACACTCACACACACACTCACACACACACACGCACACACACACACACTCACACCCTACGGTCAATTTAGTTAATCAGTTCCCCTATGTTTGGACTGTGGGGGAAACTGGAGCACTAGGAGGAAACCCACGCCAACACAGGGAGAACATGCAAACTCCCCACAGACATACCAACTGACCCAGCTGGTACTCAAACCAGCGACCTTCTAGCCGTGAGGCCACAGTGCTAACCACTGAGCCATCTGCCATCCCTAAAATTACATTTTTAACCAAAGATATTGGTTACAAATTTGTTGTGAATATAAATATTTGAGAAATCAAAACAAAACAAGTATTTACAAAAAAGGGGAACTGTATTTTAAGGTGTCCTTGTCATATGTTACATGCATTTACTGTCGTAATTACAACTAATTACACAAAACTACCTAACCCACATTCCAACCATAACTATATAGTAAATGTAATTAATTACTATTAATAGTAAATCAATAGTTACACTGTAACAATCATCCTATTTCCTTTGGCTTAGTCCCATATTTATGAAGGGTCACCACAGTGGAAAGAACCACCAATTTATCCAGCACGTTTTAAGCTGTAGTTGCCCTTCCAGCTGCAACCCAGTACTGGGAAACACCCATACACACTCATTCTCTCACACACACACTCAAGAACACTACGCCCAATTTAGTTAATCAATTCCCCTATAGCGCATGTGTTTGGACTGTGGGGGAAACCGGAGCACCCGGAGGAAACCTACACCAACACAGGGAGAACATGCAATGAAAATGACCAAAATTATCAAAAACGTAATGCAATTTAACGCACATACCAAAATCAGATATCTCATCTTATAAGAAATATAAAGTCCAAACCGGCAGAACACACACATGTGCTGATCCGTCATGCAGCGCTGAGAACATCATGAGTCAAACGCTGTAAATCATTGCGTAACAAACTATAATCTCAGTCTTAATGACGCATTTCTCTCATTCATCCTCAGTCTGAGATCATGACTTAAGGAATTAAAGGCATCAACTATGAAAAACGGCACTGTTTTTGTGTTTCGAATCATGCACTGAATAAAAAAAAAACGTTCACTCATAAATCAAAACAATAATATCGATCCTAATAATATTGCTATTTGAAAAAATGAAATATCATTAAAATAATTTAGCTTTTTTACAAATTCTTACAAAGAAACAGCCAATAAACGATGCAAATTTAAATAATATATATTTTTGTAATGTAAACAGACAAAACTGGATACACACAATGACCACATAATGGTATGCTGCATGAGTGTGCTCCATGCAGGTGAGTGGGCTTGACTCACCTGTACTGTAGGACACAATCCTCCTGTCCTTATGCACCGGACATTTAATTAGAAACACTCATTTGCTTTACATGTTTGTTAATATAACTAATATTTTCATTTTTGCATTGACATTTAAGGCTCTATTTTAACTATATAGGCACAAAGTCTAAAGCTAATGGTGCAAAAGCATTAAGACAGTGTCTGAATCCACTTTTGCAATGTTAAGGATGAATAAATACGCCGTGCGCCCGGCGCATGGTCTAACAGGGTTGTGCTTATTCTTCTTATTGAGTTCTGGGTGTGTTTTGAGCATAACCTGCATTAAACCAATCAGAGTCTCGTCTCTCATTCCCTTTAAGGGTCAGTTGCGTCGCTCCATGGTGCATTTGCTATTTACATGACGACTTTGTAAGTGTAAAAACTGAAGGCTTCACTAATGAGAAAACAGTTAAACAGAGCATCTGCAGCGCGAGGATAAAGAACGAGCCTCCACCATTCAGCCTCTTTACTTTCTCTTTATTCTCTTTACTCCTTTACTTTGGTGGAGTGAGGAAACGGTGGAAACTCTCTCCACTGAACACATCCATTAGCCCACATATTTAATATCCTTTGTTAAGCGCAAAGATTTGTGTCAAAACTAAGCATGGGATGATAACCGGTTTTTAAGAAATACCACGGTTTGGAAGAATCAAGGTATTAAAACCGCCATAAATTTCTGTAATATCATTCCAAAGGTATGTGTAGGTTTTTTTATGTACTTTTTATGTGTTGTAAAGAAATATATGTTTTTGAAACTTATGGAGAAAGCAAAAGTCTGATTTATTTTAACTACTTAGCCTAACATGTTTACTGTTCCAAAATAATATAAATGTTTCCTAAAATAAAATATACTGTGTTCAGTGGGGAAAAAAAGTCTCGTTTTACCCAGAAATTTAAAAATAATGTATTTTAAAGCAATAATCACAATAATGGTATACCATAAAACCGTGGTATTTTTATCCAAGGTTATCATATCGTCAGATACTTACACCGGCTCATTCCCAGTCAAAACTATTTCTAAATTCAGTTCTAATCGCCAGCAAAGGAATAAATGAACAATAATAATGAAGTGTAGTCAGAAAACACACGTCCTGTTCTTATGCTGATGCAGACGCCTCCAAAACCCCACAGCTGGACACATCTACACTTGTGTTTATTAAAGCAAATATAAATCTGCATATAATCAATAATACTGCTAATAATAATCACATTATACAGATGCAGATCGTCATTAATAAACTGAAAAAGCCCCCTAAGGTGAAGAAGGCATGGAGGCAGTGCTGTTTATATTGATGTAGAAAATCATCATTTCTGGATCATTTTAATCCTTTAATTGTTTACATTTGTAAGGATATTTGTGTGTTGCTGATCATCCTGTGTGTATCAGCAGTGTGTAAGTGTTTGGACCTGCATTGGTGCATAAATAATGCGCTCTGCTAGCAGCTTTTAATTGGTCAATGGTGCTGTTGGTCTATTTCAGTTCCTCAAAATAGCAACGCTCCAACAATGCGCCTTAACACACCTCCTTTATAGACCAGCACACACATGAGTCCACAGAGTGGAGCAAATGGATTTATTATTTAAACAATGTGGCGCAAAACATGAAAGTTACAATTGCGCTGATCTGAAAACAGCAACAAATCATGCCAAACACGTCTTGCGCCTTATTGTGCCGGGTGTATGATAGAGCCCATAATATCACTTATCCAGTTAAACTCTGCTGTTATTTTGGGATTTCCGCCTGGATTTTGCCTACCCAAATTTAAAAGCTTCCCAAATCCACATGCAGAGGTGTAAATGCAAAAATTTTTAAAGAAAACACTTTGAATTTTCATAAAACACTATTGAAAGTGTTTAAAATATCTGTATATGTTGTCTGTGTTATAATAAACACTTAAAAAAGAAGCACTTTTTGTATTTTTTTTAATAAACTCAAATGTGAAAGTGTCCCTTTTAGGTTGTGTGTGGTCTAGCGTGCTGTTATTAATGTTGGTGGTTCCTGCACATGTCTGTAATCATAGGAAAACAGAAACATGTCTCCACCATAATCTATGCAAAAGTTATTGTATTCCAACTGATGAGATGAGAGGTGCTGTACAAGCCACAGGGAGCGATCATTGTTTTCATATTTCACTATTCTTTTGTTTGATCAAACATAATTCACCGTGTTTGGAGCACGTCAGACATATAAAAGGATTACTTATGCACATCAGCTCAAAAACAGAGGAGAATTTTCCCGAAGCGCACAGCATAAGGTAAGAGATGACGGCTGTCTGTGCTATCTGGGGCTGCTTATTGATCATAAATGTATTGTTTTCACTTCTGCGCCATGGAAACACCACAATTCATTCAACAACTGTTTGATATGTGAATATAATTCAGTATAAAGAATGCTAGAACCGTATGAGCACCGGCAAGAGCTTTCATTTGAGCTATAACTTGTACATGTGTCATATATGAACCATATGAAAATAAACCAATGTTCAACACCCAGCTCGGGTATCCAAAACACTGTGTATTTAAGTGTAAATAACTTTTGTACAGTAGAATAAAAATCAAAGTGATGCATGTGTGCATAAAATATAGATTCTACACTTTCAAACGAAACCACTTACGGGGGTCTGGTGCAATGCTAGCCCTTAATATCTTAAGCGAAAGTTGATGACGTCACAG